TGTGGAGCAGAGGAGGTGAAGAGCACAGCGTCCTCAGCTCACATTGGAGAGGATTGGCACCCACCAAATGAGGTTGGGAGGAGGAGCTGGGACAGAGCCAGGGGTGCTGGGTGTCCTGAGAAACCTGGCCTGGGAGGAGGGGATCACTCTGCCTCTCATTCCACCATTCACTCCTTCAATTCAACCGTTCTCCAGGATGATGATGCCAACAGCCTCCAAAGGTAGGCTTCTAGAGTTCAGCCCCCAGCTTTGTTCCTTCTAAGCTGTTTGCCCTGGGGCAAGCCACTTAAACCTCTCTGGGCCTCAAATTCCTTATCTGAAAAATGGGATTGTTCATAATAGGACCTACTTCCATTTGTCTTCTAGAATAGCTGAGGCCACGCACTCTTGGAAGGCTGAAGAGAGTGTTGTTACAGACTTGAGATGTCATTACTTGTTATAACCAAAAATGTGCGTGTGCGTTGAGGCAGGAGTTACGTCCATTTAGGTTAAGAGCCTTTGTGCCTTTTAGGACTCTGGCTCCTTGAACATGCTGTTCCCTCCCCCTTGAACACTCTTCCACCTCTTGCCAAATTGCTTCTGTTCTGTCCTTCATGTCTTGAGGTAGATGCCCCCTATTCGAGAAGCCTTCCCCGACCCTGCAGGCTGGGGCCCTCACAGCACCTCTACCTCCCCCCAACTCATCACGGTCCCTCCCCCACACCGGGGGAGGAGTGGGTGCCCTATGCAGGTGGGGCCTGGGTCCATCTCAGTCATGGCTGTGTCTAGGCTCCCCAGTGAAGACCTAGGTGAGAAGGGGGCCTATGCATATTGTTGAAGGGACAGCTGGAGCTGTGACCCACGCTGGGGAGGTAGAGGCCAGCAGAAGGCAGAATTCAAAGTGAGAGCCAGTTAAAAACAGTGCAGGAGCGAGCGGCCGGGTGTGTGGCCCCGGGCAAACCACACCTTCTTTCACAGACTCAATTTCTTCTTCCGGAAAATGGGGATATCGGACAGGAGCCTGGCTCGAGAGGCGAGGGGTTCGTGCGGAAGGAAAGTGGCCTGGAGCCTGGCACAGCGTGTGTGCTCAGGAGTCGTGCCAGGAGCCGCTGACTCCACCCCACCCCCTACCCCTGAGCCTCAGTTTCCCCATCTGGCCAACTCCCCCTTAGACAACACAGATGGATGCTGTCTGGACGGGTGGGAAGAGGCCTCTGCTGGTGCTTACGTGGGGCGGCAGCCAAGCAGGGCCGAGGAGGCTGGCACCGGCTGGCCTCGCTAAGCTGGCAGTCCTTGGCAGAGCCCAGGCTCCCTGAAGGCGGCTGGAGAAGCGCCCGGGCCCAGGCGTTGGGGGACTGAGGAGGCTGGGATGAAACTGAGGCCCCTTCTTGGAGGGGACAGGTTCTGACTGGGGGGCAAGGACTTTATGTACACTTATTAAGCACCCACTGGATGCAAGACCAGACCTTTGCCTGTGCTGTTTTAGGTGCCAGGGTCACTCTTCCTTTTCACAGGACTGATTCCTGTTCTTTCTGCTCTCGTCGAGAAGACACCACCTCCAGGAAGCCTCCCACATTTTCTGGGTTGGGTCAAGGCACCCCCCTTTGGGCTAATACAGTGCCAGGGCTTCCCCCGCACAGCTCTGATCACCCAGTATTCTAGCTGGGCTGTGGGCAGGTCGCTTAGTCAATTTACAGATACCGACAGTGCACTTAATGTCAGGCACTGTGCTTACCATCATCCATGTTTAGGGAGCCCTGTGGAGTCAATTGCTACTGCTGTGTCCATTGTATAGATGGGACAACTGAGGCTCAGGAAAGGTTACTGGTGGAAGCCAGGAGTCCTGGAGCACAGCAGGGCCTCGGTGAGAGCTGGTTTCTATCCCCAGGGTCGGTGAGCTCACTCCTTCCCCTAGCAGCCTGGTTGTGAGAAAAGTCATCTGTCCCATGACCTGGGATGTGCCTAACTTCTCTGTTCTGCCTGTGATCTTGAAGGAGGCTCAAGATGGAGGTGAGAGGATTCCCTTCCTTTCCTTTCCTTTCTCTCCTTTAACAAACATGTGAGCCATGTTCCACAGTGTGTCCAAGTGGGAGGCAGTGCTGGCCAATCTTAATATCTCTTCTCCCCTCTTCCCTAGGAATAGAAACCTCTGGTTTTCAGCTGGACCGTTGGCCATTCAGAATAAAGACTACATTTCCCAGTGTCACTTTAGGCAAGTGTGGCCACATGACTTGGTTCTGGTCATTGGGGTGTGAGCAGAACTGGTTTACAGGATTTCTGGGGGTGACCTTAAAAGCAAGTGGGGAGCCCTTCCTCACTCCTCCTCATTGACTGGGATGCAGATGTGATAGCTGGAGCTCAAGCAACTGCATTGTCCCATGAGGAGGTGACCTACTTGCTAAGGATATGGAGCAATGACATAGAAGGATTCCAGGCCCTGGACGCTATAGAGCCTCCATGCCATCCCTGCACTGACTCTTCATATTCATGAGCCCCATGGGCTTAATCTGCTCTGGTTGGGTCTTGGATCCCATCACCAACCCCAATCTTGACTGCTACATCTATCCCTCCCAGTCCATCTCTCCATTCTCACCCCCTTTCATGCCTGCTGGGCAGAGAGGCCTATCTTTTCCTTGCCAGTGCCATGGGCCATTCCCAGTGACTAAAACAGGGTGCCCCGGAGAGTGTAGCCTCTGTTTGTGGCATTACACAGAGCTGGGAGCAAGGGCCCTCAGAAGCTGGGTATGAGGTCCTCATCACGGAGCTGCAGCCCCTCAGGGATCATGCGCAAGGACCTCAGCCCACCCCTACACACACACATGCACGCACGTGCACACACACACACCAGAGCCATGACCAAGGGCCTATCCTTTGCCATCATCAATCCAAGAAGGGAGACCCTTTTCCTTCAACCACCTTGAAGTTTCCGAGCTTTGTCTTGGTCATGAACACAGCAAAGCACAAGTGAAAAACACTTCCATATGTGTAACACAGGAAATCTCTGACTACACACACATACTCGCTAGCAGATCTCCCAAGTCCAGACTGCTGGGTCCAAATTCCACCATCATGCACCTGCTCTGTGACCCCAAGAGAGTGACGTGGCCTCTCTGGGCCACAGTTGCCTCATCTGGAAAACTGAGACCTAGAAGTGCTGCTGAGAAGGATTTTGTCTGAGCTACTTAAAACCCCTCCAGTGGTTTTACTCAGCATCTCAGAAGAAAAATCAAATTCCTTCCCCAAATTTACAAGGTCCTGTACCAACTGCCCCCATCCCCTTCCTGCCCTCACCTCCTCCCTGTCCCGCCTCCCTCCCTCACCCTGTTCCAGCCACAAAGGCTTCCTTGGTACTGCTTCTCAAACACGCCAGGCCTGGTTCTGCCCCAGGACCTTTGCATGTGCCGTTCCCTCAGCCTGGACTACACTTCCTGCACATTCACCTCCTTTTCGCCATTCCAGTGTCAGCAGTGTCGGATCCATTGTTCCCTCCCAGGCCTTCGTCATCATGCCTGCCACCTGCCCAAGCAAGTGACCCTCATTCAATGCCCAGAAGACCCTTGAAATGGCCCAACCCTTCTGAAGAAGCACCTTATTTACTCGCCATAAAATTAAGCCACATCTGAGCTGGTCTCTGAATCCCGCTGCAAACTCACAGGAGGCACAGGGGACTGAGGAACGTGTTAAATGGCACCAGGGGGACAAGCTTGGCACGGTGGAAAATGTCGCCACAGAGTAAGCGACCCAGTGGTTTCAACAATTGCAACGATCACGAGGCAAAAGAGAGTGAGAGACGGGAGGTTGTCGATGAAGACTTAGGAGACCACCACCGACTCTAGACTTGACCTAGGTCCTGACCCAGACAACCTAAAAAACACACCTCACAAGGGTTCGCATTTCCGTGTGTCCGCTGGATGGATATCTGATGCTCTCAGGGAATCGTCATTTTTAACACAATACTGATGTTTGTGGGTTTTTTAAAAGAGTCTTATCTTAGGGGTGCCTGGGTGGCTCGGCTCAATCAGTTAAGCACTTGACTCTTGATCTCATCTCAGGTCTTGGATCTTGGGTCGTGTCTTGAGTATAGGCCCCATGTTAAAAAAAAAAAAAAGTCTTATCTTAGAGCAGGGGCTGTGCCCCTTGGCACTGCTAACCCCAGGACCAGGTCATCAAAGGCTGTCTTGCGTGCTGGTGGAGGGGTGTGAGCAACACCGAGGCCCCCACCCCCTTGACACCAGGAACCTCCCCTCCCCCACCAGGCATGACCACCACAGATGTCCCCAGATATCACCCAGAGTCCCCCGGGGACAGAACCCCCGACCCAGGTGAGGACTGCTGCTTTAGAAACACCAGATGTTTGCAGATGAAAACCATCTGGCATTTGCATCAGAATGACAAGGGACAGAGGAGAGTGAAGGATGTTATGACTTGAGAGTCGCCCTGGAGAGAGTTGTCTCTCGAATCTGAGTAATGGGTACATGTGTGGGGGGGTCATTATCCTATTATCTCTACTTGGGTGTGTGTGACTTTTATCACTATAAAAAGCGGCAGTGATGGGGAAATTCAGATCAAAGCTAGAGATGAGTTCATGGTCACGGACGTACCCACGTCGCTTTCTCGGTGGGGACGGGGAGCATGCTGTGCCTGTGCAGGAGGAGAGCATTATGGGAAGCTGGGCGACGGGCACACAGGAACTCTCTGGAGTTAGTACTTTTGCCACTTTTCTGTACATCTAAGATCAGTCCAAAGTAAAAATTTTATTAAAAAAAAAAATAAAGTTGAAATGCAAAAGGACCAAGCCAAGCTGGGATCCCACATGCCCAGGATTAGAAAGGAGGTGCGGGGCGTCCCAGGGCCACCAGTGGTGCCACAGATGACATAGCGGCCCTGGAGACACCCTCCTGCCCACCACCCCCCCCGGGGGATCTCCTTGCTCACCCGCAGATGCTGGGAGTTGCCACATGGGTGGCCCTGGGCGGCCAGAAACCCGCGGCCCCACAGCAGTCAGGGCCAGACTCCGCTTTCAAACCCACTTTATTCTCTCTAGACTAGAAACACTTGGCATTTCCACCCTCCCTGCCCCGATCCATCGCCAGAACCCCCAGGGAGGGGGAGCCATAGTGCCTCACAGCCGTTCTGGGGGCCTCTGGGAGGGCCCGGTGGCCTCGGCCACCCCCACAGACGTGGCACTGGAGTGGCCCTGGGAGCTGGCTTGGGCCAGCAGCTCCAACCTCCGCGAGCGCAGCCGGGCCTGGATGGCCCAGATGGGGGGTCGGTGGCCGGGCAGCGAGGGGTCCTCGTCGCCCAGGCTGTCCACGGTGGAGTCGGAGCCGTCTTCCGTGCCGGCCACCGACTGTTTGCACACGGGGCAGGAGCGCCGGGCGGCCTGGGAGAACCAGGGGTCAATGCACTTGCAGTGGTAAGTGTGGGAGCAGGGCAGGATCTTGAGCTGGTCGCCCTCCTCGTACTCGTCCAGGCAGATGGCACACAGGTCATTCCGCCGCGTGAAGGTGCGCACCTGGGCCTTCTGGCCGGCCCGCGGCTTGACCTCCGGCCCGCGGCTCCACCGGGCCCAGAGCCAGCCCCACAGCGGGCGGAGGACCAGGAAGACGGAGGCGAGCAGGGCCAGGGCGCGGCCCAGCACCCAGGAAACGGCCAGCACTGGGTGGCAGTCCAGGTCGGGGCACGGCGGGTAGTCGGGCAGCAGGAGGACGTGGGCCCCCTTGTCGCAGCGCACGATGACCCGCAGGTCCTGCGAGGCGGCCTCGCCCACGAACACCGAGGGGATGGCGATCTGACGCCGCAGGTCCTCGTAGACGTGGGCCATGCGCACCAGCTCGTCCGAGCGCACGTTGTGCACGATGGCCGCCTCAAAGCCCGCCCGCTGGGCGTGCAGCACCTTGAGGTCGAAGGTACAGTCGTAGCGGCGGATCAGCACGATGGCGCCCAGCGAGCCGTTGCCCGGCCGCGGGCCCTCGATGGGGTGGCAGGCGTTGGCCGGCTTGGCCTCCATCAGGTAGCCCCGCACGCCCTCAGGGGCCAGGGGCACCCCGAACAGGGCCGGCAGGTCGGCGAAGTCCACGGTGCTGGCGTTGCCGTCCAGCACAGCCCGCACCACCGCCTCCGAGGGCACCAGCAGCGCCAGCAGGCTCAGCCAGGCCGCGACGGCCCGCGGGGCCCAGGCTGGCTCCGGCTGCCCCATGGCCACGCCCCCCTCCTCCTCCTCTTCCCCCGGATGCGGCGTGGACTAGGTCCCGCTGGGGACCGCAGACCGGAGGCCTTCGGGCATCTCCAGGGCCTCCCGGAGGGCCCGCGGCCGAGATGGGAAGTGAGGTGAGCTCGAATCGGGCGGCTCAGGGGCAGGGAAGTGGGACAGCTGGGGCCAGGGCGTCCCTAGGCAGAAACTGCCTCTGGGGCAGCCCCATATGCATCGTGTTTCTGAGGGGGGCTCTCAGGAGCTGCCAACCTACCCGGGCAGCCTTGCCGGCGGATGACACTGAGAGCAGGAACCCCCTGGGGTTCTAGATGCCTCTGGCCTCTGTGACATCGTCCAGTTCCATCTTGTCCCCAGGGGCCCACCGTTGCCTAGGGCTGTGGCCAAGGCAGAATTCCCGGATCGCTGACCCCCAGGGGGGCCTGAGCAGCCTTCGAGAAAACTTGTGGAATGCTCAGAGCAGCCCGTTCCTGGACCTCATAAGGCTCAGGGTACCCCAAAGTAGGCTGATGGCCCCTCGTGGCACCGATCCAGGACCTATTGCTACTGGAAAGCCTTATCTCCCCAAGACTCTCAGAGACCCACCGAGGGAGATGTCAGTATTACCCCTTTTTGAGATACCCAGGAGGACCCAGACTTGTTCAAGGCACCCTCCCCCCAGGAGGTCGGTTCTTAAAACCCAAATACCAAACCACCCCCCCCCCCAGTCCCTCTGCTCCAGCCGCACAGGCCTCCTTGCCATTCTTACAACACATAGGGCCACACCAGGTGTGGTGCTGTCCCAGGGCTTTTGCACAGGCTGTGGTCTCTGCCTGAAATGCCCTTTCTCCCGGGGCCAGCTTTTTCTCAGGACTTCGGTCTGAGCTTATACGTCCTCGGAGTGTAACTAGATTTGATCTGGGGGGAGAGAAGTGCCCGGTCCGGGTGGAGCCGGCAGGAGTGGGTGGTCCCTGTCCTCTGTCCTCACTGCCTGGTAGGCCTCCAGTCCTACACCCGCTTTCTTCTCCCACCTCAGTGCCTCCTCTCCAGCCTGTCCCCAGCTGTCCTCCCACCTTCGGTATCAGCCTCACGTCCTCCCCACTTCTCATCCCCCAAACCTTCCACCCTGAGTCTGCCCCCACGCTGGGCTAGGCAGCCTGCTCACATCTTGATTGCCGGGACTGCTACTCACAAGCTGTGTGACACCAGGTAAATCACTCGACCTCTCTGGGCTCCAGACTCAGGATCTGTAAAATGGACACAATGACGAGGAACCGGTCTTATAAGATGGGTGGGGTGAGACGTGGATGAGACAACCCAGGATTGGTGCTCAGCAGGGAGTCTGACCTTTTCCCTCTCCCGGACCAGACCTCACCTCTGCTTTGAAATCTTTCTGGTCAGGGATTTTTCTAAAATCCCCATCCTCTGTTCTCCGCATTGCCCTCCAGATGCAGTCCACACTCTCCTGTGTGGCCTGCAAGCCCCCCACGTCCCCATGATGGTCAAGACCCTGCTAGTCTCTGAAGGACGAGGCTTCTCAATGCTGCGAATGGATCATGAGTCCTTGACCTCCAGACCTTTCAAAGGCGGCCTCCAGTGCCAGGAACAGCATTCTGTCTCCTCAGTGGCACTTGGCCAAGGTGACCACCTGCTCCTTGGGTTTTCTGGGAGGCCCGATGCCTCCCAGGGCAGCCCTCAGCCCGCAGCAGAGAAGAGACAGAGACCTACGGGGAGAAGGCCAGGTGGTACGGGTTGTCATCGGAGGGATGCCTCCAGGGGCGGGAGCGCCCAGGGTGGGGGCAGGACATGGGGCAGGTTCTCCCTCTGAGCCTCCAGGAGGAACCAACCCTGCCAACACCTTGATTTGGGGCTCCTGGCCTCCAGAGGTGGGAGAGGATACATTTCTGTTGTTTCATGACCCCCCTCCAATCCTGCCCACAGCAGAGGGAGCAAAGGGACGTTGTCACAGTGGCTTGTAAACAAGGATCAGTCCCTGGAATCCTTGTCCCAGGTGTGCCACCAGGTGAGGCACCAGGGTAAGGTGAGTAAGATGAACTTGGTGCAGGAAGGCAGAGAGCAGCATGCTGGGAAAGTGGACAGAGAGCTAGAAGGTTCTGAGGAGGGGGAGGGAGGGGGAGGAGGAAGAAGGGGGAGGAGGAAGGGAGAGTGGAAGTGGGGAGGGAGAGAGGGAGGGAGAGAGAGAGGGGAAGAAGGGAAAGGAAGGAGGGAGGGGGAGGAAGAGAGGGAGGGAGAGGGAGCTAGGGGTGGGGGAGGGGAGGAGGGAAGGTGGGGGCAGTGGGAAGGGGGTGGGAGGACAGGTGAGCTGAGTGTCTGGAAAGAGGGTCTGACTCAAGGACAGGAGGGGGTGGGCAAGGTCGCAGAGGACGAAGGGAGTCACAGGAAAGTTGAGAAGCAGGATGCAGTCAAGTTGTTTTTCCCCTTTCCTCTCTACATTTCTGCACTACTGCCTCTCTCGCCCTGGGAACGAGTTCACTTATTACTCCCGAACTAAAAAGCATTTAGTGTTTCTGAAAGAGGCCTCTGTTTCCTGTGGCTGCAGGGCAGGGACTGGAGAGGAAGAGGGAGGCCAGGAAGCCATGGAGGTGACAGAGATTCAGGGAAGGGACTGAGAGGGGACCAGAGGGGACAGCAGCCCTGAATGAGTGAGTGAAGGAGAGAGGAGGTACTTGGGGCAGAGCGGTGGCCCCTGCCGATGCTGTCCCTCTGGGGTTTACCCCCCAGAAGTCGCTGGTGTTGGTGCCTTTCCAAGCAACTGCAAATTTTCCTAAGGGACCATCCTTGGTCCCGCTGGAATTTTAAAACATGGCGTCTTTGTGTTTGGAAGTCTCATCTCTTGGTGGCAAGTAATTTTGGGGTTTTTCTTTTATGACTCTCATAGAATTTTTAACGAAGGACAACAGGAGAGTCGATATTTAGGGACTGTTTGGTAACTGAAGGAGTGACGGATGGTGGTAGGAAAAAGTGGAGAAAGAGGTTCTCCAAAGATGGCAGTTGACAGCAGGGTGTCTTGGTTCCCTAGGGCTACTGTAACCAGGTGCCACAAACTGAGTGGCTGAGAAGGTCAGAAATTTCTTTTTTCAAAGTTCTGGAGACCAGAAGTCCAAGATCAAAGTGTTGGCGATCTGGCCCTCCTTCTGAGGGCTCCTCGGCTACTGGAAGCTTCTTGGCCCACGTGCAGGTAACCTGGGTGAGCCAGCCGATGGACGCCCTGGGAGCAGCCCAGGACCCACGACCGGTGGGACAGTCTATCTCGCTCCTCCAATGAAATGACTCGGGAGCATGTCCTCACCACCTCCCAGAGGACCCCAGTGGGACTGAGCTCCTGCTGCCCCCATGACAACGTGCTTGACAGTGCTGCTTCTAAGTTGCCCTCCCTTTCCTTCCTCTGACCAACCCCCACTCCCCTCCCAGCGTCTTCTGAAATCACTGCCAAAGTAACTAATCTCGACGCAAATTCTTGTCTCAGGGTCAGCTTCTGAAGGAGCCAAAACTAAGACGCTGCCTGAAAATAGAGGCGGTGCACGAGAAAGCAGAGCAGAGCGCCGGAGAGAGACCCGGGTCCTGAAAACATCATCCGAGCACCTGGATCTAGCTGAGCCTGAAGGCCACACATCTGTAAACTGTTAGATGAACCAATACATTCCTTTTTTGCTTAAGAGGGGGTTTCTGGGTCCACACAACTAAACTCATAGGGGAGGGGTGAGGCTTCCAGAACCTCATAGGAGAAGGAACACTGGGCATGATTGTAAGCCTGATTTCCTTTTCCTGCCTCGCCCACGTTCCCCCACCCCACCCAGTGTATGTGTGGCGGGGGGAGCCTCCTTCAGTGGTGCTGGGGGCTGGGATACACTGAAGAAGCCTGGCTCCTCAGGCTGTTGGACATAAAACACATGTCAGATGGGGTGTCCTGTGGCCATAACTTCCCGGAGCTCAAAGACACATCTTCATCCCTCCTTCCCCTCATGCATCTCAGGCTGAAGTCAGTGTTAAACTCGCCCATGCTGTGTGGGTATGCAGCCACTCATACCCAGGACTGGCTGCAATGCAGGAGACCCTGCGGCCCCTGGGGGTGGGGCTGGGGCAGGGGCTGGGATGGGGAGGAGACGGAGGTACCCAAGGGGTCAGTGAGAAGTTGCCAGTGAATGGTCCACCAGCAGCCCCACCTGGGCCCCTCTGTCTCTGTGTCTCTCCTCTGTGTGCATCTCTATGCCTGTTTCTTTCTGCATCTCTGTCTCTCTCCCTCCTTCTCTATCGTTCTGCTTCTGCGTGAGCATCTCTTTTTGTCTTTGCCCTTATCCCTGTTCCCTGACCCTGTCTCTGTCTGTCCCTGTCTCTCTGTGTATGTCTCTCTGCGTCTGTGTCACTGCATCCCTGTCTCCTTTTGTGTTTCTCTTGGACTTAGCCTCTCTTGCCTGTCATGTTTCTTTCCGTGGCCTCCGTGTCTGTCCCTTAAGCCTGTGTCTATCTGTGCTGGCCTCTGTTTCCCTCTCTCTCTCTCTCTCTCTACCCGCCCCCCTCAGCCCTACACCTGGTCCACAGTAAACACGTAGCGGCTTTTGTTGGCTTCAAGACCCAAGATGCCCCTCTGGGCACCCGGACAAGCCTGACATGGTGAGGGATGAGCTGGGCTTGAAGCCCAACACGGCCCTCGCTGAGGGAGCCCATCTTTCCCCATCGGTAACATGAGGGTCAGCAGAGGATTTCTGAACTCGATCACCCGGGGACCTCCCGCCGCCCTTTGACCTTGGGACAGTGCCTTTCCCCATTTCTCCCAGGAGGAAGCCAGCAGCATCCAGAGAGGGGACAATCCCTCCCGAGTGTCACAGCCAAGAAGGGGCTGAGCCCCTTTCTCCGCCCCGGAGTCCCCAGATCTCCTGCCCCAATGGCCCAGCAGCAGCTGCAAAGGAACAGGTTTACTGTCCGAGGCCAGACTCCTTCATTTGTCTTCCTACCTTTCCTGCTCCGAGGTCCCGGCTCTCGGGCGGCGTAGCTGAGCTCGTGCAGACGAGACAGAAGACGGCTCGGGGAGAGGGATCTGATCGCACAGGACAGTGTGCCAGGCGCTGGACGGACCGCCGTGAAC